AACATTCTATTCTGTTTTGTAGGACATAATCAAAATAATAATACATAAATAAAAATTTGCAAAACATGCGTTTATGTATCATTTAAATAAGTTACTTAAGCAACCTTTATTGCTTACAAAACTAAATAATACAGTAAAAGGGAAAAATAGGGTTATTTATAAAGGGGCCGTGTATTATTATTATTATCATTATTGAATTATTTATTATTCATCTAATTATTGTTTATTTATTGAAATATCACTGAGCTTTAAGTTACATAAAGACAAACATCAAATTTAATTACAAAAAAAAAAAAAAAAAAAAAAAAATTAAAGAAAGATGTTACATTCAATACCAGAGCCATTACTTAGCCATCGCAGAAGAAATTCCTTCTATTTATAGAGGGCGCTGCGGATGTGCTGTAATAGCTGTTGCCACTTATATGAAGGGAGAGGTTACAATATATTATTTCATTCATTATATCAGATAAGATAATTTAAAAGTTCGAATTCGCATTAAAACACGTAACACAAAAAACATATGAAGAATAAAAACATTTATCTTTTTATACATTTAAAATTGACATGTTTAAATATCTTTTTGGGCTTCGATCTTTTCAACGCTTTGGCATTCCCCAAATCGCCGATACAAAAGAAAAAAGAATAAATTATCCCGAACAAAATAAAACAATGCTGCCTGTCTTAAAATCCATTATAAAATTCATTTCTTTAGATATTCGACTTCAACTCTCGCAGCTCCAAAACATAGTACACAAACAAAATTTCATTAATCTTAATAAGAATTTCATTCAACTTTACAGTTTAGAGTTCTGGATTTCCCCTCTGTTCTGGAAGTATCATTTTGGAATGATTAATCTATCGCTCTGCGTAGCTTTCTAAAAATGGGAACATTTCTCTGTAGGGTGGAAACATCCCTCCCCCCACTTCATATTTGCTCCCTCCACTCTTCTTTCACAATTCCACCAGTACATGCTTGGATTATAGGACATAATGTGCCAGCAATGTAGTGTTCCTTTGTGTTTGGTTCTATGTTTTTATTTTGGAATGCTCGAAAACTAGGCCATGACTTAAGTAGAGGATATCGCGTCATTTAAGAAAGGAAGAGAGTAAAGAAGAAAGGAATAAAATGTATACGAATAAATTGTGTTGGAATAAAAAAAGGCTATTGAAGGTTATGGATAAATGGAAATGTTTTTTGATAGAAGAATTGAATGAATAAATCTTTAAAATTGGATATTTTGTTTTGAAATATACGATAACCATTGAGTAGCGATTTGATATCTCTCTTTTTGAATTTAAATATTTCTTTAGGTATTGTGATAAAGTTTATTATGTATATAGAATTCATTATCTGTCTTAATATATGAATAAAATTGTAACCATTTAAGGCTTGCAATTTAGTAAAACCTTCTATTCTGTCCTGTAAGACCTATATAAAATAATAATTCATAAATAAAAATTTGTAAAACATGCATTTATGCATCATTTAAATAAGTTAATTAAGCTACTTTTATTGCTAACAAAATAAAATAATGCAGGGAAAGGGAAAAATAAGATTAATTATGATGGACCCATGTAATATTATTATTATTATTATTATTATTATTATGATTATTTTTTATTGTTATTTTTTATTATTATTTTTATTATTATTATTATTATTAATATTCTTATGATTATTTTTTATTGTTATTTTTTATTATTTTTATTATTATTATTATTAATATTCTTATGATTATTTATTGTTATTTATTACTATTATTGTTTTATTTATTATTCATTTAATAATTGTTTACTTATTGAAAGATTATTGAAGTTTATATTACAGAAAAATAAATATCAAAGTTAATTTCAAAAAGAAAAATTAAAAATGTTAATTGAACTCCAGAGAGTTTTTAGCTATAAGTGAGAGAATTCGTTCTATTAATAGAGGGCGCTGCGGATGCGCTTTAATACTGTTGCCACTAATACAGAAGGAGAGGTTACAGTATAAAATTTCAAGCATTGCATCAGATAAAACCTCTTAAATATTCGCTTTTTCGAGTTAAAAGATATGACATAAAAAACGTATAAAAATACATTTAAAAGTGTCATCTTTAAATATCTTTTTGGACTTCGAACTTTTTAACTCTCTGATATTTCCCAATCCGCAGAGGCAATAGGAAAAATAAACTGCTCAGATTTTTATCCGAAAATAAAACACAAATAAGCTGTCAACTCTCCTAATCGAAAACATTTGAAAAGAACACTTTTCGAATTTTACAACGATCGAATTCTTTTGTTCCAATATCTTTCATCCAAAACAGAGCATGAAACAGTGCTCCCTGTCTTAAAATCCATTATAAAATTCACATTTTCAGATATTCAACTTCAACTCTTGCAGCTCCAGAGCACAACACAAAGAAAATTTCATTAATCTTAATAAGAATTCCATTCAACTTTGCAGTTTAGAGTTCTGGATTTCCTCTCTGTTCTGGCAGTATTATTTTAGAATGATTAATCTATCGTTCCGCGCAGCCTTCTAAAAATGGGAACATATCTCTGTAGGGTGGAACCCCCTCCCCACTCATCATATTTGCTCCCTCCCCTCTTCTTCGCAATTCCACCAGTACCTGCTTGGATTATAGGACATAATGTGGCGGCAATGTAGCGTTTCTTTTTGTTGGCTCCTATGTTTTTTTTGTGGAATGCTCGAAAACTAGGCCATGACGTAAGTAGAGGATATCGTGTCATTTAAGAAAGGAAGAGAATAAAGAAGTACAACATTTATGTATCATTTGAAATAGTTACTTTAAGCTACTTTTATTGCCTACAAAATTAAATAATATAGCGAAAAGGAAAAATTGGTTTAGTTAAAATGTCCCCCATGTATCATTATAATCATTATTATATATATTTATTATTAGTTAATATTATTATTATGATTATTATGTTTGAATTATTTATTATTCATTTAACTATTGTATATTTATTGAAATAATATTGAAGTTTAAGTGAAATAAAGACAAACATCAAAGATATTTCCAAAACAAAAATGAGAGGAGAGGTTACAACATATAATTTCATTCATTATATCAGATAAAATATCATAAATTTTCGCTTTCGCGAATTAAAATACATAACATAAAAAACCTATAAATAATAAAGACATTTATGTCTTTTAAACTTTTTAAATTGAAACATTTAAATATCTTTTTTTGTCTTCAAGCTTTTTGACTTTCTGACATTTCCCAATTCGCAGAAGCAAAAGAAATAAGAAATTGCTTAGATTTTTATTCCAAACCAAAACACAAATAAGCTGTCAACTTTCCTAATCGAAAAGAACAGTTTCCGAATTTTACAATGATTTTGTTCTTTTGTTCCAATATCTTTCATCCAAAACAGAATAATACCCTGTCTTAAAATCCATTATAAAATTCACATTAAGTAATTAATAATAAAAATTAATAATTAAAAAATTTAATAATTAATAATAAAAAATCAAAATTAAATAAAGCAGTGAAAGGCAAAAATAAGGTTAAATATTATGGAACCATGCATTATTATTAGTGTAGTTATTTTTTTGTTATTGATATTATTATTGAATTATTTATTATTCCTTTATTTATTTTTTATAGATAGAAATATTATTGAAGTTTAAGTTACATTAAATAAACCGGAGAGATCTTAGCCATTACTGAAGAAATTCGCTCTATTTATAGAGGGCGCTACGGATGCGTTGTAATAGCTGTTGCCACTTATACAAAAGGAGAGGTTATAACACAAAATTGTACGCATTATATCAGATAAAATCTCTTAAATTTTCGCTTTCGCAACTTAAAAGACATAACATAAAAAACTCCATAATTAATAGAATTAAACTTTGCAGTTTATAGTTCTCGATTTCCTCTCTGCTCTGGAATGTTTAATCTATCGTTTGGCGCAGCTTTCTAAAAATGGGAACACATCGCTGTGGGGTGGAAACCCCCCCTCCACTCTCTTCATATGTTCTGCCTCCCCTCTTCATCACGATTCCACCAGTACATGCTTGGATTATAGGACATAATGTGGCTGCAATGTAGTGTTCCTTTGTGTTGGCTCCTATGTTTTTATTGTGGAATGCTAGAAAACTGGGCCATGACGTAAGTAGAGGATATCGGGTCATTTAAGAAAGGAAGAGAGTAAAGAAGAAAGGAATAAAATGTATATGAATAAATGTTTTGGAAAAAAAGTATTATTGATTGTCATGAATAAATGAAAATGTTTTTGGCTAGAAGAATGAATAAATAAAAGTTTAAAATTGGATATTTTGTTGTGAAATATACGCTAACCATTGAATAGTGATGTGATAACTCTCTGTTTGCTTTTATATATTTCTTTAGGTATTGCGATATAGGTTTAATATATATAGTATTTATTATCTGTCTTAATATATGATTAAAATTTTATGCACTTAAGGCTTGCAATTTAGTAAAACATTTTATTCTGTTCTATAGCACAGAAATAAAATAATAATGCATAAATAAAAATTTGTAAAACATGCGTTTATATATCATTTAAATAAGTTACTTGAGCTACATTTATTGCATACAAAATTAAATAATACAGTGAAAGGGAAAAATAGGGTTAATTATGATGGGTCCGTATCCGATGGATTATTAGTATTGCTATTTATTGTTATATTATTATTATTATTGTTATTTGTTATTATTTTTATGATTATTATGATTGAATTATTTATGTTGTTGTTGTTCTTTCTTATCCCACTTGGCTGGCCAAGCCCACGAGCCCATACGTGCTCATGATTGAAGGGGAAGGAATCAGCTTCTGTTGTGATGGAGCACCCGTAGGTAGAAGCCTGAATTTTGCTCCGTGACGCTCATACAGTCATAGGAGACTGGGACCTACAGCTTAAAGTGGATTCCGAACCACTACAAACATCCATGGCACCGCCGGGATTCGAACCCGAAACCTGTGGCACCGAGCGCTAGACACTCGGCCATTCAGGTCCCTAATTTGCCAACGGCACGCGGTGTTCCCAGGTGGTCACCCACCCAAGTACTGATCGCGCCCAATGATGCTTGACTTCGGTGATCTAACGAGAACCGGTATATTCAGCATGGTACGGCCGTTGGCTTGAATTATTTTTTATTCCTTTAATTATTGTTTATTTATTGAAATAAATATTTATATTATTTATATGATACTTATGTTTTGTACTTGATACGCAAACTCCAATATTTAAGAAGTTTTATCCGATGTAATAAATCCGATGTATCTTGGGCATTTCCCAATTCGCAGACGGAAAAGAAAAAAAAAATTGCTTAGATTTTTAACCCAAATCAAAACACGAATAAGCTGTCAACTTTCATAATAGAAAACATACGAAAAAGAACACTTTTCGAATTTTACAACGATCGAATTCTTTTGTTCCACTATCCTTCATTCAAAACAGAAAATAAAACAGTTCTCTCCGCCTTAAAATCCATTATAGAATTCACTTCTTCAGATATTCAACTTCAACTCTTACACCTCCAGAGCACAACGCAAACAAAATTTCATTCATCTTAATAAGAATTTCATTCAACTTCGCAGTTTATAGTTCTGGATTTCCTCTCTGCTCTGGAAGTATGATTTTGGAAATGATTAATCTATCGTTCCGCGTAGCTTTCTAAAAATGGGAACACATCTCTGTGGGGTGGAAACCCATATTTGCTCCCTCCCCCGCTTCCCTCTCACATTCCACCAGTACATGATTGGATTATAGGACACAATGTGGCGGCAATGTAGTGTTCCTTTGTGTTGGCTCATATGTTTTTATTTTGGAATGCTGGAAAACTAGGCCATGACGTAAGTAGAGGATATCGCGTCATTTAAGAAAGGAAGAGAGTAAAGAAGAAAGGAATAAAATGTATATGAATAAATTGTGTTGGAGTAAAAAACGCTATTGAAGGTTATGGATAAATGGAAATGTTTTTTGATAGAAGAATAAACGAATAAAACTTTAAAATTGGATATTTTATTTTGAACTATACGTTAACCATTGAGTAGCGATTTAATATGTCTGTTTTTAAATTTTTATATTTCTTAAGGTATTGCGATATAAGTTTAATATATATAATATTTATTATTATCTAAATATATGAATTAAATTCGAACAATTTAAGGCTTGCAATTTAGTAAAACATTCAATTCTGTTCTGTAGGACATAAATAAAATAATAATGCATAAATAAAAATTGTTAAAACAAGCGTTTATCTATCATTTAAATAAGTTACTTGATCTACTTTTATTGCATACAAAATTAAATAATACAGTGAAAGGAAAAATAGGGTTAATTATGATGGGCCCATGTATTATTATTATTATTGATATTCATTTTTATTATTTATATTATTATTATAATTCCTTTTTGTTATTTAATTTTATTATTGTCATTTATTGTTATTTAATATTATTAATGAGTTTAAGTTACATAAAAAGAAACATCAAAGTTAATTACCAAAATAAAAATGAAAGCTTTTGCATTGACTAACACCAGAGAGTTCTTAGCCATTTCTGAAGATATTCATTATATTGTATAGAGGGCGCTACAGATGCACTATAATAGTATAAATTATACAAAAAGAAAGGTTACAAAATATACTTCCATGTATTACATCAGATAAAACGTCTTAAATTTTCGCGTTCACGATTTAAAAGTCATAACATAAAAAACATATAAAAATAAAAACTTTTTAACATGTTTCAAACATTTTAATTGACATCTTTAAATATCTTTTTTGGCTTCAAGCTTTTTAACTCTATGGCATTTCTCAATTCACAAAGGCAAAAGAAAAAATAAATTTCTTAGTTTTTTATCCAAACCAAAACACGAATATGCTATAAACTTTCCTAATCGTAAAACATTCGAAAAGAATACTTTTCGAATTTTACAATGATCGAATTCTTTTGTTCCAATATCTTTCATTCCGAACAAAATAAAACAGTGCTCCCTGTCTTAAAATCCATTATAAAATTCCCTTCTTCAGATATTCAACTTCAACTTTTGCAGCTCCAGAGCACAACGCAAACTAAATTTCATTAATCTTAATAAGAATTTCATTCAACTTTGCAGTTTAGAGTTCTGGATTTCCTCTGCGCTCTGGAAGTATCATTGTGGAATGATTAATTTATCGTTCCGCGCAGCCTTCTAAAAATGGGATCACTTCTCTGTGGGGTGGAAACACCCCTCACCCCTCTTCATATTTGCTCCCTCCCCTCTCCATCATAATTCCACCAGTACATGCTTGGATTATAGTACATAATGTGGCGGCAATGTAGTGTTCCTTTTTGTTGGCTCCCTATGTTTTTACTTTGGAATGCTCAAAAACTAGGCCATGACGCAAGTAGAGGATATCGCGTCATTTAAGAAAGGAAGAGAGTAAAGAAGAAAGGAATAAAATATATATGAATAAATTGTGTTGTAAGAAAAAAACGCTATTGAATGTTATGGATAAATGGAAATGCTTTTGCTAGAAGAAATGAATGAATAAAACTTTAAAATTGGTTATTTCGTTTTGAAATATACGATAACCATTGAGTAGCGATTTGATAACTTTCTTTTTTAAATTTATATATTTCTTTAGGTATTATGATATAAATTTAATATAAATAGTATTTATTATCTGTCTAAATATATGAATATAATTCTAACAATTTATGTCTTGCAATTTAGTAAAACATTTTATTATGTTATACAGAAATGGTTATATATCTCTGCGTGCGTATATTTTTAATTTAATTATTTTCAAAAGGTTTTTTGAAATTTAGGAATAAGAACTATGTTATTTCTGACTCTAATTCATTATATGAAGTGATGCGATGTATTCTATTAAATGTATTTAAATGAAATCTTTTTTAAATAAATGGTTTGTGGTTTATTATCTGTTCCGAAATGTATAAATATTCTAAACCTGCAAAATTACTTTGTCTGAATAAGATTTGAGATGAATTCTATTCATTTAAAGATAAATAGTAAATATTTAAATAACCCCGAGGTGAATTGATAAATTTTATATTATTTAATTTTTATGATAAAAAAAAAGCTGATGTAAATTTTATTTCATTTAATAAAAAGTGCATCAGGCTTAGGTTATTTTATTATAATATTTACAATAATAATACTTTGATATTTATTTTTGTTGCTATTTTTAAATATGTAAAAATAATTATACATTTCTATATTAAAGATAAAGTCTACAAAAGCAATAACATTTTAAGGTACTTTATTTCTTATGAAAAAAATTTTGGCATCATGTAGTGTTTACAACAAGTAAAAATCGAAGAAAAGAGATACAAAAATTTCTTTATATGTTTTAAATATAAAAAGTATTCAATTTTATCTCAAATGAAATTCTCCTCTGAAAATTGTGTAAATATAAGTAAAAGTTTTAGTATCTATATTTATATGAAACATTTGATTGTATGTGTGTTTGTTTAAACACTAAAGATTTAGAAGCTCAATTTCTGATCTTTGATTTAATTTTTTTATCTGATGTGATGCCAAAAACTGGGAACAAATTCGTAGTAGTTATTTTTGTAATTAAATAAAAATATAATTATTGTATGAATGTATTTTTGTGTATTTGAATTTATCATGTAAGAGTTAAAATACTATTTTTCTTAGAATTTATTCTTTTTTTAACTGCTACATAATTGAAAATCATATAATAATTGTGACTTCCTTTTCTAATTAAATGAAACTATAAATTTTAATTTTTTAACTAAAATTTCGAATTTTTTTAACGAATAAATTAAAAAAATTTTTAACTAATAATTTTTAATTTAATTTTTTAAAATTAATATTTTTTTTTAATTTAAAAATTGTTTGTTTTATTTATTGAGATTTAACAAATAATTTGCAAATATTTGAGTAAGCATTTTTTTTGTTGTTGGTCCGGTGGACTTCATGTTCCACTAATGTATGACACGGACAGCCAGCCGACTGCAGATGTGAGGAAGATATTGCCTTCCGAGAGGACTTTTCGGAGTAATTGCTACACTTTTGAGTTTTATATCTAGGGAGTTGAACTATTAACAACTACTAGGCATTCTGATTGTCGATGCGAGACGCTTTACATACTGTCAAATTGTTATTGATTCTTCGTTTCGAAAAGCAATGACTGCAATCAGCGGATTTGTCACCGGCACGATAAGTACTCACGTTATCATTGTGGCACGAATAGGGAGTGAAAGTGACCATTTCTAGAGGCAATAGTCTCAAAGAAGAAGTACCTAAGGAATATACTAATTCTTAACTGAATGATAGGCCAACTCCTGGTTATTTAGCTGTAAAACAGAGGCCCCTTTGTTTGCTAGGAAATCAGAGGCTATGTTTCCCTTTATTTCGCAGTGGGCCGGGATCCATTGAAAGACGACTGCTTTATTTCAATTCCTTCTATTAGCTCACACTCTCCCTATATATATCTTGTTCAAATTTTCAATCGTTCATAAAATACTTTTTATTCATCCACTCCAGTTCAAATACATTTTTTTTGAACTTGCAGTGGATGACACTGGATGTTAATACAGCTTTTTCAAATATTAATTCATTAATTTAATTTAATTAATTAATTTAGATTTAAGTTGCATGTATCTACCAATAGATGGCACCAGATAAACTTAAAAAAAAAATGAAAATTATTTATAAAGGGCTTTCTGCAATATAGTGAAAAAAAAAGGAGGAATTGACTTAAAATTTTTTTTTTATATATATTACTTGTTTTGATCCGACAGCCTTGCCAGAAGTTTAACACAGCCATCAATATTTTTAGATCGAGAGGAACATGGGAAGTCTATAGCCTGATGAACTGCTCTCGAATATGATAGAATCACAGAAACATTCTATAGTTGAATAAGAGCCAAACGGGTAGCAGATATTTCACCATCGAAAGCTGACACGATAATAAAATACGAACAGCTCACAATGAACACCGGCTCTAACGTTATCACATTCAGTTGATCTAGAGCCATCTGTAAAATCTCCGAGTCAATGTGAGATGGGGCAGAGAATATCTATAATTTCGTATGCTATTGATTTTAAAACTTTATCATTGTCCTCCGTTTTTAACACACTATAGCTGGAGCCGTGG